ATCATTTTAATTTGCAGGCAGCCAACTGTACACCAAGTTTGGCATTCAATAAAAGCAGACCAAGTATTACAGTTGTAACAAAAAGAAAATAAAACTTTAACATGTGTATTGCATCACCATGGAAGTGACTTCACAACACATAGCAACAAAGTGCATTTTGCTAATTATTACCTTTTTAACTTCTACCTTTCCTTCTTTCTTGCTTTAGTCAAACAAACAGTAAGATTCCTGGCATAGGAACCTTTCACTTTTCACTCTCAATATATGTAGTCAGGAACGACTACGGTCTGTCACACTGGGAGTATCTTCGAGCAGAAAGTCACGTTGGAATTGTTTTCATTTAACAAGCCTACCTAAACCTTGTGTAGACAAGATCTGGCCCCCTCTCCTTCAACTTCTGCAAATCTTTTTCTTATTTCATTCTTTACTTGCACAAACAAGGAATGCCTTCTAAACACATGATGGGCAACCTGTTGAATCCTCTTACTTCTCACACAAAACTGTTTCCTTGTGGCCCCTGCCTTCCAACCCACCAAAGATTTGAGGGCAGGCTTTTTCAAAAATGACTCCAGAAGGACTTCCTCCCCTGTCAACCTCTTCTTCAGGACCCTTTCAAGCCTCGATCCTGATACCCTGGACCATTCCTGGGCTGGGTGTGTAGCCCAACACCTGGCTACACTGCACCCCAGGGTGGCCCACAGCAAAACCTCCAAGGGAGGAAGCCTGATGCCCTGCTTGTGCAAACCTTGGGCACACCCAGATTTAGCCCCCCTCGCCTTCTAGTTTTGCAAAGCCATTTTTCTTATTTTACTCTTTTATTTGCACTCGAACAAACAGGGAACGCGTACAAAACGCCGACTACGATCGACCTGTTGAATATTGAAATATTTCTTAAACCTGTGGCTCCTGAATCCAAGAGGGCAAACTTTTTTTTTTTTTTACAAAAAGGTCAGGAAATCCTCCTGGCAAGGAAGCCGGTGGTGGGGCTTCCTCCGAGCCTCCCCGAAACCTTTTCTTCCCAAGCAGAAGAGGGCCGGGCACACCCTGGCAGTTCACCTGCCGCCGTTCAAAGGTGGGGGGGGCTGTTATTTTAAATATTGTTATTTATTATTATGATCGTCGTCGTCGCCCTCCGCCTGGGCCCCCCCCCCCCCCCCGG